GAATGTAGCAACAGCACTTCCTTTCGCTCATCATGTGTCCATGGCTCTCAAGGTCAAAACTGCTGAAACCAAGGTAAAGGGAATTGAGTTTGTATGGTGTTGTACGTCAGCTGATAGTATGTAGAGAATTAGACAGCTGCGGTGGGGTTTGAAAAAGTAATTTCTTTCATTCTTACATAAAGGTGTTTTTCAGTGTTCTCTTCTTAAAAAAAACCCAAACCAAACCAAAACAAAAAGAACACCTTATACTATAGTGCTGATAGTAAATACTGCAAAGTACGTCTTATAAAAAGGATTTCAAAATACGTGATGTAGTTCCATTTATGAGATATAATTCTTGGAAGTGCCTAGTAAAATCCTACATTTAATGACACCAGTGGGTTCCTAAAACTCTTTAAGTTGTTTTAGCATATAATAAATGACCCTGTGATTTTTAAATTGTGGGTTTTTTGCTTTGAAATAATTGAGGGGTTAGAAAAGGGAAAAATGGTTTGCAAATAAAATGTATTCTGAGATTTTAAAAATATATGTTTAAATTTCAGTGGAAAGTTCAAATAAAAAATGAAGCAGAATATGATAAAATTTGAAAATTTTCAAAGGATTTTCATTTTCATGTTATTGTCTTAAGAATATATTCTTCGCACTGAGCTGCACGCATTTCCTTAGCTCACTCGACTGAGCAAGGCATGCTATACCTAATACATCGCTACATCCCTAAGACAGGGACTAAGAATATTCTGGGTACAAAGTGAACAATCCTGGGCCTTTGATGCCAATGAAAGTTTGTCGTTGGCTTCAAGAGAGGCCAGGAATCCACCTACTGTAATTAGAGGTCAACAGGTCATCGGCTCACAGCCATCCTTCAGCTCTGTGTTTTTCACTTCAGCCCTGTCTCACCACTTTTATCACAGGACACATCTACATGTAGAGCAGATAAGGCTTCAAGGAGACGGTTGCTAGAGGAGGGGCAGCAGATAAAGCAGAATTACAGGAAACGTGCATCTGCTCAGGAGATGGAATGAAAACGATTGCCACCAAAAACATGCCAAAGATTAAACCTCCAATGCTTAGAGATACTTTCAGGGGGCCAGGAGGCAGCATGGCTACCAAACTTGCACGTGACATTGTACTCAATTAACATTACAGTGACCATAGGGTACACTGTGGAAAAGAATGGATCAAATGGGTTATTTGGACCATTTTCATTTAGGATAAGACTAAAGACAATGGAAATGGGAAAGCTGTATTTAGCCCTCAGACCAACCTGTCTGAAGACATTAATCATTCTCAGCTATTGCTTGGATTGAAAGAAGAAAACAGGAAGACTGTGCTGGACATTTCCTTATTGACAAATACCGGTTTGTATCGGCATGATGGATTTCTCTCCTATTGCATTACAAACTAAAGCTCCTTGATCTCTCTCCTTGTGGGAGAAAGATGCACTGTTCAATATTTAACACTTTACAATATTTAGCAAGGTAAAAGTAAGTAGTTTGCTAAATTCACAGTATCCACACTTCTGTCAACGTCAGATGGTTCTGCAAATATGTTATCGCCTACCATACAACCATTCAAAGAACTAAGGCCAGAAGTGAACATTAAAGACGTTTGAGTGAAGCTTCATCCAGAGATGCATCTGGTTTTGCTTTGAAGGATCTATTCCTTCCAAAGGCAGTTTGTTCCATTGGCTAATTGCCTTTATGGTTAAAAACGTCCTTCACGCATCTTTCAAATTTGTCTAGCTATGACTTGCAGCTGTTTACTTCTTGCGGCTTTTCTGATAGATTAAAGAGCCCTTAAGTACCTGGTATTTTCTGCCTGTGAAGGTACTTATCCATCATAATCAGAGCTAAACAGATTGACCTCTTTAAGGCTGTAGGCCTGATAAAAAAAAAAAAACACCCACATTTCTAGCCATCAGCTCCCTTTTGTGGCTCTTCTCTGCACCTTCTTAATTTCTTAACTTACTTTAAAAATCACTGGTACCAAATTGGGTGACACTTTGTCTTCTCAGTGCTGTGTTTGGAGGTAATACTTCTTCCTTATTTCTAGTCATATTCTCCTATCTTAAAGCCTTAAGGGCTTGTTTTGTGTCACAATATTCCAAGAGAAGCTCATAAAAATGACCTAGTATGAGCTAATGCTCATCTACAGCCCTTCTCAGAGTCACTCCCTCCTTGAATAAGGGCTCCTTTTACCAGCATATAGCAAACTAAATCAAAATGGAAATTGTACTTTAGAGATGGTACATTTTTTTATTTTTTACTGCAATCTTACCTGTCAACTGAGTTTACTTTAAAAATGGTGACTTAAAAAATATTCTATGTATTTTTTTTTCTTTATTAATTTGAATCACTTGTCAAGAACATTATCCAGCTTTATCCTTAAAATCCACTGTGATGATAAGGGCACTCAATAACCAGTTTCGATAAAAATTCTTCAATAAAAGCAAATAAATACAATGAACAAGTTTCTTTCGAACTCTGCAAAACGGAAATTATTTTTGAAACTTTGTAATATCTTATACATTTATTTTTTGTTTCATTCCTTTTGTCTTAGTTGTACTCCAAATAATTCCTCCTCCTTTTTAGTTATGAATATGCATTTATTATTTCTCCTGCCTCACTTCCTCTCACCAACATACACATACACGATTCCTTTTACCTTTCTACAGAATTGAATCCTATTCCTCTATTAGCTGTTACCTATTTTTCCTAAAATTCATTCCCATTGTAAATATGGTGTCACCATTCAAAGAGATAAACAGTGGCTTCTTTTGCATTGATATGATGCTTCACTATATACAGTCCATACTCTGCTTGCCATTCTGATACACTGAAAAATTGCATCCAGTCTTCTATATTTTACTGCTTCATTTATACAGAGCCACTTTTCATGGGTTTACTTCTGAATGAATACCTGTACTTGACATTTTTCTTCCTCTTAGTCTTCATTTTTCCATTTTAAATTTATTTTTGATCAGCATAGACAAGAAATTCTGTAAAACATCAAAACTTCCAAACTCACTTGCTGTCAGTTCAATTCCACTGATCTCAGGGGAAATTCAGCATGGGATTTTGTAGGGCATGCAAAAATGTGCAGGCTTAGAGCCTATATTTACATATCCAAGTGTATTTACTTCATAATGGAATCACTATAGTAATGATGTTCTGCTTGGATCATTACTGCATAATGGATGATAGTTTGGAGATTTGTGGAGGTCTTACAGGAGGAGTCATGTAAACACACATTGCTAGTTTCAAATATTTGATAGTCAAACTGGTGGAAGGGCAAGAAAATTCTTAACTCATTACATGTGTTGTACCTGGACTAAGAATTTATACAATAGCCTACTCCTAAACCAGAAACTGGAATGCTTTAATAGAAAAAGGAAAATGTAGCCACACATCCTTCCAGTGCAGAGCATCATGTAGTACAATATTAAAGACAGACGGTATGAAACTAGCAGTAATTCCCTCTACAGTCACTGTCTTTCTCATGACTGCTTTCTATCTGCGTTTTTTCAGAGGAAAGCAAAGAGTGGAAGAGACAGGATTGAGGGGACAGGCAGAGAAGAAAGAATAAAGAAAGAGATGAGTGTTAAAAAAGTGGCCACTGAAAGAGGAAAGATACAAAGAAGAAAGAGGAAATATAAAATGATAAATATGACATGATAAAGCATTAGCTAGAGTGAGAAAATACAAGACAACCAAGAGTCTATAGAAAAGAAAAACTGATTTTACTGATCACTCTACTGACTGTAGTAAACATCTTCATTTTCATGCTCTTAAGCAAGCATACAATATTGCCAAAGCAGTTGCTCAGGTTTGATGCATACAGATGTCTAGTCCTGATGTCCCAGGTTTCCCTTTAAAAAAATAAAAGCCCAAATAAACATCTTGAATGTCATTATATCATCATAGAATAACATAAATTAAAGTGTTCTGCATTAGTAAGATTATTATTATTACCAAAACATATTAACCTTCAAAACATAATTTTACATTATACCTGTAGGAATGAATACAAGCCCTAGGGTCTGCATAATTCAGGAAGCCAGCTTAGAAGATCAGAGATATGTGATCAGAGATATGTTCACTTGAAAGGATCTCAAGGCATTTTATGAACTTTATCAGGTGAAAGCTAACAGGTTTTTTTCTGGCTGCATTGCTCCCAAACTTCAGGTTAGAAATGAAGACACCAAAACAGAATGAAAGAATTAATGGTACCAAGGTATCTTAAGAAACATACATTCTTTGTATAATCCTGTATATAGTGTTTCTCTTTTCTTAAAGGCACAGTATTTGATCATAAGATATTGGTTGCTTTATGAAACTCATATTTTTAGGGGTGTTTTTTCAATTTGGAGTTCAAATTTATTTAGAATTAATTCACAAACATTTGAACTTTGAAAAGTATTTAACAGATATGGCTCATTACTCATTTAAGTTGTCTATATCCTTACTTTTGGAAGTAAGCACTAGGGTTTCTAAGGCTGGGAAACTTAACAGTTACTGCTCTACAATTTTCTACATTTTATTTGTATACAGTTGCAACATACTTACAAGGACGACTTTTTTTTTTTTAAATTTAAAACTAGGCTAAAACTAGGTTTAAAAATAGTTAAGCATCTGGATGATCTTAAACTCTCAAGGTCTCCTGTGCAGTAACTGTCAAGAAATGTGCTTCTCATTCTCTGAACATGTGTAAATTCAATAAATAGTTGCTATACAATGATATATGACAAAAACAAAGAACCATGCATCATAACCACACATTAGCAGCTGAAATGTACCAAAGAGCCTTTAACAACTTACATGTAATCAACAACAGCAAAAATTCTGTCTAAATATTTGGTTTGCTGATTTTTTGTTTTCACATTATGATTGATAGAAATCTGGAATTACTTTCTAACAATTAGGTACCTAATGTAAACATGGAATTAGGTTTTACTGTCTTTTTCCCTTTTACAGGTTGTTTTGGTGAATCTGTTGATATGCATGGTAGTTTTCTACACTGTGTATTATGTGGTCCTATCTGTGTGCTTCGCAGTATTCAAGTAAGATTTCCTTGTCTTTAGTCTAATATGATGGCATACTACAACTGGATATAATGGGTAGATCTATGACCCTGTACAGGAGGCATCCAAACTGGAGGCATCCAGTCCCAGTTACGCTGTGAATACATTTTTCAATGTTCAATTCTATCAGTAAAGTAAAGCTGAAAGTAAATTGGTCAGTTCATCAAGTTAAATTGCTGTACCTGAACCTTTGTTCAAGTGCACAAATTGGCAAATGGAGACTCAAAACTAATATAAAATGCTGATTCTAATCTACTTCCTTGCACTTGCACCATGTAAATAAATGAACATAAGAGCAAAGATGACACTAAAAAAGGAAAAGAAAGATTTTATAGTCAACAAAAAAGACAAATTATGTTCCCTTAGGTAGTTGATTAGCACGTACAGTGCCAGACATGTCTTAAATAAAAGTGGAGATCGTGGACGCTGTGTGCAAGAGCAAGATCACAACACACAATGGAACGTAGAGCGCTTGTAAAAGCCCAGAGTATTCCCTTTGAAATCATATTTAAAAACACCAATAATGTGTGATATGAACACTAAGGCTTTATCGAGAAGCTCTGGTTACATTTATTCTTTCCATTTCCACAGGATTAAAATGTTGGATGGTTTGGCACCTTTTGATTTTAAGACAAAACCCTCATGGATTAACCCATATTATTTAGGTAACCAAAGTTTGTTTCTCTCTTTTTTTGCAGTGAAGAAAACAGATTGTATTTAGATGTAAACTTGTCTTCCTTATGGACAATATTTTAAAGCTGCTTTAGTAATACTAATAATTTCTGTATTTTAACTACACTGCATTTAAATGCGTATTCATCTTCCCTGCACTTCTCATTTCTGTGTTGCTACTTATCATTCAAGTGATCGTTAGGCTTTTCCTTGAGTTGTTCTTCTGATCTTGCATCATCTGAAGAAAACGTGCTGCCTTGGCACGATACTTCATTTTCACTGCAGAACAATTATCTATTCTCTGTAAAGTTCCTCCACAAAGTTGTTAAATTTAATTTTCATACTGCAGCAAATTTATTATGAACCATATTGGATCCACATCTGAGTAACTAGTCACTTTCAACTAATGGATATCTTGCTTCGTTAATGCCTGAATACAGTATGCATTAAAATTTCAGAGTCTGATCGTAGCTCAATCCCGAAAGATATCTTTCTATATCCTAGTACCAATTTCTGCATTTTTGTCTGAAGCTCTCAAAATATATTCTTTTTCCTAAACTGTCATCCCTAAAAAATTACATGCATACATGAAATTTTGCCAGATTTGTAATCTATTTTACAAAGGCAAAACCCATCATCTATCAGTAAAGTAAGTAAAGCTGAAAGTAAATTGGTCAGTTCATCAGGTTAAAAAGAGTAATAAGAATGCATGGATATTTGTACAGTGTCAATATTGATTTCAGATGAAAAAAGAGCATTTTAGCTGTAGCAATGGAAAAGAAAATTGAATCATATTCCATTAGAATTACTTTTCATGGCCTTAATGTAATTACTGTATCTCAGTTGATTTTTTTTTCAAAAAAAAATTATACCAGCTATGTTGATGCAGCATGTTTATACGCCAAAGACAGCAACTCTATTGTGCAACTGGTTAGTAGTCCACCCTCCTTTACGTTCACCCAATGAAATAACATGGAATAGCAAAATATAACAGGATCTGTTTAAGGTCTGTGGGCACAGAGACAGAATGAAGGTCTCTGAATGATATTGCAAATGAGAATTTGTGTACTCAAGAGTCTCACTCATGCCTGTTAAAAACAGAATTATGTCTTTAAAAGATACCTTCACAATACAAATTGAAGTTAGCTCAGAACGGAGGTATCATTACTGGCCCAGTTTTGTAAAAATGTTTACAGAGCATCTGTCTACACTAAGCATACTTTCTGAATTATAAAATTATTGGCAAAATTTAAAGAGATACTATCATCACAAAATACAATAAATTAAAAACTCTACCATACATTGTCAAACATTAAGGTTTTTTGAGTGTTATTTCCCATTTTCCTAACTACATGTTGTTTTCCAGTTATCTTCTTATTTTTTACATTTTTTTAAGCTGCTGGATGAAAGACCCATCATACAGTAGGATCGAATTCACTTTATAAAGAAAAGAACAAAACTGAAAGGCACAAAATGCTGCTACATTTATATATTAAATACAGTGAAAAAATAATGATGGCGTCTCTGCTTTCAGCTACAGTAATCTTAGGTATTACATTACTGCAATATTAAAAAAAATAATTCCGTTAAAAATGTGACTTTTGTATGCCTGTGTACTTAAACAGAAGAACAAAATGCATTTAGATGGAAAATTGTATGAATTACAAATGCACAATTATGGCCTGTTGTCCGAGAACTCAGGACAACAGCTAGAAGAGACATCATGCATTTTCCATCCAGCCCCCTGCTATCCCAGGTAGCTGCCAAGCATGAAGTTGAACTTTGCCCTAAAAGTGATTTTTTTTGATCTCATTAACCGCAGTAGGAAGTAAACAAGCTGAAACTAAGCACCACTCCATTGCTGCATTGAAGAACATATCACATCAAATGCCGTGATGGGGTTCCTCACCCTTCCCAACATAGCTGTTCCGTGCCTTCCAGGCTGTTTTCCTGGCCACCGGGCAGGCACAGTTTGCCCATGTCATTACTTTTGGAGAGCTGTGCCCCACATCGGAGAAAGTGGTCATCACCGGCTGGTGGCACGGCATGGCTCAGCATGCTCCAGAGAAAGTGCCAGAGGACAGAAACGCACCATTTCATCACTGAGAGAAGGAATTTTCTTGATCAGATACCTTTAATAGTCTCTTTTGGCAGCATAGTTTAGTTATTATCACTTTGCTGGTAATCCCCATTCATGGTTTAAGACAGTGCAGAGCTGCTGAATGTCAGGCACGGAGACTGCACAGTAGCTGTGTCAGCCTTGCTATCAGCACTGAGAAAAGCCAGGCTCCTGGTTGTACGTATCATGAGGTCCATATGGATGGATGGCCTCTGCTCACCTTGTGGGCTCTCTGCTCCGTCTCCCCTTGCATGTCTTTTCTGTTAAATTGTTCTGGTATGCATATATGGATACACACACATCAGAGAGAGAGAGATACACACACATATACATATTTTTTTTTCATATATATGTATTTGATACAACAAAATGCACAGGGAGAAAGCTGCAAGTTTCTTACTAAACGTAACTCCTTAACCACACAATTCTGTTTTGGATGGGAAAAATTTGATTGACGTCAGTATCAATCAAATCTATTTGGTGCCATAGGAAAAGAGGTGGTGGACCACATGGATGGTCCCTAAGTAAAATTTCCATACTAGTTTCTCCTCCAGGCTATTTGAACTGGCCATAATCCTGTTAATCCTCATGTTTTTCCATAAAATATGGAACATTTTGAAGTTTATAAGCAAATCTGGACAACCCATGCAGATGTCTGCGGCAAAATTAGAAATGAACTTTAGAATGAAATCATTAGTGTAATATTCGATCTTGTAAAATATAATTTGCATAACTATCTCAGACATTTTAACTTCCTATTGCTATTATTTTGAATATAAGAAAAAAAGCTTTTCAAAACTGTGTTTGATGTAAGTATCCCATTTTCATTTGCAGTTCTTGTGATATCATTGGAAATAACTTTCTTCATTTGTGGTCTGCTGTTTGCCTTGGTTGTGGAAGAATGGGTTTGGGATTACGCTGTAACAGTTACTATTATTCATATCATCATAACTTCAGCTGGTAAGTAGGTTTATCGCTAAATATATACATAGTATCACAAATTGAAGGACCAATTGACCATGATTCATCTCTGTATTGCCGGACTAACTTTATCACTTTTCTTTAAAGTGAAATAAACATATATCTCTTTTTTTCCATTCATTTGACTCATGCAAGTATTTAAACCTTGTCATTTAAAACTCAATTCTGTTTTTGTTGCAGAATTTTAAAATACAATTTTCTTATAAAAATATTTAGTTTGTAATCTGGCAGTTAATATCAAACAGATCCAGCCTAGAAACAACTTCAGTATGTGAGGTGTGGTTTTTGCTAAACCAAGAAAGTAATAGCTGCCCATGTGCTGACACTGTACGATGTACTCATTAACACTTCAGCTCTAGTTCAGAGGAAAAACGAGTCTTGCTTCAGCAAAGCCATTTTGAAGTTTTAAAGTTAGACCATTTGAACTAAATCTCATTGAGAAAAATAAAGCGTTTTACCATCGAAGCATCGTTTTGTTTTTTTTTTTTTTAATCCCCTGAAACTCTTCCTCTCAAAGGAAAGGAATAGAATTGGCTACTGTAAATGAGACTTATCATCATTTTTTACCAGTCCCTGGTAACCTGCTTCCTCTTCTCAGGCTGATCAGAAGAATGTTGCTATGGCTGATTAAGAAATATCCTTTAGCCTCATCCTGCCAGAGTTCATTTGGAGGGTTTTTTTCCTCCTATAGTAATGAGCTTAGTATTTTTATTCTAGAATTTAGAAATAGGAAAAGTATCACTGACAAAATAGAACTCCCCCTCTACTACATAATAATTCATCTTCCATCTTCCAGTATTATTTCAAATATTTTGTATTTATACAGATGTGGATTCCCCAGTTCCCATAACAAGTTAAGCCAGAGACCAACAGAGACTTCATCTTAAAAAATTAAGCATAATTTCTCATCTACTGAATTTGACTTCCTGGAATTTAAACTACTTTTATTCCTTATGAATAACTTTTGTATTTTAATCCAGAAATTTACAAAACCTACAACAAGACCTGCTTTGTATATAATTTATATGGAAGGTATCTTCTATCAGTATATTAGATGATGCATCCTGATGTCTGAACTACTCCAGATTTGTTATTGCTTCTTTCAGATGGGCAACCAAAGATCTGCTGGCTGACTCCAAGCAGCCAGCATATGCAGCGTGCCTCCCAGCTCACTTTACTACCTCTAAAGCCCTTTTAGCTTTTTTTTACTTTTTTTTTTTTTTGGTTAGGGGGGGGGGGGCAATATTGGGTCATGCTTGAGTGAGGCAAGGGCAAGTGCCTGACACAGGAGAGAGCGTGCTGTGCAACAATGCTAACTTGCAGCGCGCAGACCCAGTCTGTCTTTCATGCACTGCATCACCCATTAAACTGAAAACGTCAGGCAGCTTAATTTATTTGGATTGCAGCAATATGTAGGCAGTCTACCAGGGGATCAGTGTCTGTTGTGCCGAACCGTGTACAAGTAAGTAATAAAAAAGGCACTTCTTCCGCAGAGAGTCTAAGAGCTTTATTTAGCACACACTTATTGGGTTTAAGATCCCACTTGCCTTCCAGTGGGATCACTCACCAGGCTAAGCTTAATGGTATGGCCAAGTATCCGAATGATCAGGACCTAAATATGCATTTGAAATTTCAATAAATGTAAAGTATATAATTTATGAAACATAACTAACATGTTTTTGATAACACCATGTAATGTTTGCATGTCCTCATCCTTATTATTTAAAAATTTGCATTTCTCCTTTTCTTCTCCTTGCAGTTATGTCTGAATTCCCCCTGATGTTACACTGGTGGCTGGCATTAGGTATAATGACATTCTTTAAAGTTTAAATTGTTAGACTCTGTGTAGAAAATTAGCATCTACAGCAAGAATTGCTTCTATTAAATGCCTGTTTTCTCACTAATTTGAGAATTGTCAACATTTAAAGAAGAGATATATGGTTGCTTTCCATTTCTACTGCTTTTAATGACACAGGCAAGTAACACTGGGCTAACATTTGCCTTGCTTTAAAAAAATCTTCTGTTTTAAGACCAGAGTGTACTCAGCTTATGTTAATCTTGCTAACAAACAGCAGATATGCTCACATTCTTAAAATAAACCCTGACTAATCAAACTATCTATCTCACTTAATTCAGGTGTCAAAGACAGTTATCATAGAAACATAAAATGGTTAGGGTTGGAAGGGACCTCAAAGATCATCTAGTTCCAACTCTCCTGCCATGGGCAGGGACACCCTCCACTACACCAGGTTGCTCAAAGCCTCATCCAGCCTGGCCTTCAACACTGCCAAACTAGTCTTCCTTGGTACCCTTTATAATGAATGGAAAGAAACAGGCACCTTCAGAGTCCATTTTTATAAACACTAAGCACAGGTACTTAGAATAGATGAGATGTATCCCAGTCATCATATTTCCTTAGAATGAATGGCAAACCTACATTTCTGAGTGCTTAATTTTCTGTAAAATTAAAAGTATAGCTTAGTATTAGAATATATTATCTTGAAAAATAGTTAAGGTAAAAGGACTGGCTTCTGTTCTTCTTTCTTATATGATGGATAACAAAGATCGACAGCTACAGTAAATTCTTAAATGATGGGGAGAAGCAAATAAATTTCCTGTCCTGCAACTGGTTTTGCATCAGCAGCTGCTGGAGCCGATATCTTTGTAGGTGGTTAAAGCCTTGGGCAAAATGTTAAAGTAGACAGGCCATTTTTAAAAAATTAAAGATAAAAAGAATGTCTGTTTAAAGTTTTATCATAACATTTGTATTTCACTATAAAAATTAATATAATAGTCATATATTTTCTTTCAGGATCTGGAGTAATTTCAATGATTTGTGGAGGACAGATTTTGGCATACTGCTTGTTCAAAGACAACTTCATTTACCCGATTCTAGATGATTTTTGAAAAGGAAAATTAGAATCTGCCTTTATATTTGTGTGAATTCTATGGTGTCGTTAACAACATAATTAAAACAAATTTAGCAACTGTCTAATTGTAAGGCTAACATTTAGCTTACCAGACCTCTTGTATCTTACATTTGTTTGCAATGTCAATGTCATCACTTGTAGCTGTTGTATGTAATCATTTCTAGCCTTTGTATGTACATTTTTCATCCAGCAAATAATTAGGTACACTGTCTCTTTTTAAAAAACAAATAAACCATAAGGAGGGTAAGACCAATGATGCAACCATCTTGCAATATCCTACAAGGAAAAGGAAAAAAAAAAGATTTGAATTTAATGATTTCAGGGTGCTTGTTATCTACCGTATTTTATGAAATGCTGACTCTAATTTAGGCTGGAGTCTAACCTCTCGTAAGTGCTGCAAAACTTCAAAGTCAGCCTATCTGGCATAAATCACTGTAGGTTTAAAGCAGTTTTTACTAGCAAACCCCTGGCAAAGAAGAATCCATGAACAGCATGTAGCTCTGCATCTCTTCCCATCTTAAAGCTCTCACCTAGTAGTTGCTCAAGACAACAGCACGCAGATGTACAATACCCAGTGTTTGGTTGACCCCCTTGCTTCCACGGATGCTACAGAGAAATGTCTTCTACGATAGCTTCAGGCTATTCCCTCTTTCACTAATGATCCATTTATGGTCTGACTGTGCTGGAACGAGAAAAGGCAAATGCTACTCACAGCCACTTTTTTACATGTCCCTTTCTCTCTCCTCCAGCTGCATGTGGCCAATGCCAAAGTGATTTTAATTGCCACTATGGGTAGTGGTAATTAAAAAACAACAAACAAACCACAGTAGCAACTTCAAGTAACTCTTTATCTCTTTAACCACAATAAAGTTGTAACAGCAAAATTGCTAGAAGGCAACTTCATCCTAAATACGATACTACTGATTGGATTTCAACTGCAGTTTCCTTAGAAGAGCAAGACTGGATTGCTCTTTGCATAGCAGCACTAAATGTTGCATTCGCCTTAATCTCAATCAACAGATAATGCCTCTGAAGAATCTGTCCTCTGTTGATCTAATCAAACATCTTAAAATTTATTGGAAGTTTTACAATTTTCAATTGTTTCAATACTGGAAGTACATTAATCAAACATCTTAAAATTTATTGGAAGTTTCACAATTTTGAATTAAGTTTCAATACTGGAAGTACACATACATTGAGAAGGATATTTCAGAAGATTCCCAAAAGAAAGAGCTTGTCTCTCAAGAATGACAGATCTGAAAGTCATTTAAGAGACAAACCAGGTATGTAAATCCACAGCATTGAACAGATGTAGACTTTACAAATTGTTCAGCATAATATGCTGTGTACTGAAATCAGCTGAGATAATTCCAGAGAGGGAATTAACTGACCTGTGCTGATCACTGGTCTGAACCATGGACTGGTTTTAGTTTGATGGATTTGTATCTCCATAAACATTAGTGTGCAGATAACCGACTGGTTATAATGTGTTTGAAAAACATTTGCACATTTCTTCCAGATTTGTTTCAGTTCAGAAGTATAAAAATGAATGGGAAGGAAGTACTGTCTAATGTAAATTCATACCTCTGTCCTCATCCTCACATGGTCAGTGTGTGTAGGTAGTGTTCCACGTGGCAGAACATGAGTGGATTAGATATAAAGTTAATCCACGGGTGGAACAAGTTTCTATTTTTAACCTGACAGGATTTTCCTCTATGTGTGTCAGCCCAGCAGCAGCTTGTAGTAGCTGTGTTGCCCAGTCTTGAAGTTTTTATCTTTTGTTTTCTATTTAAAATCTTAAATCACCAGCAAGAGATACCTTCAGACTAATATGAAGAGTGCTTTAGTCCCAGGACTTCTCCAAAGCACGTACAACTAGGCCAGTGCTAGAAAAACAATCACAGCAAGAACTCTATCAAGGATTAAAAGCCTTAGCCCAGCTATTACAGGGTCATTAGCTTTCTGCATTACTTTCAGATATGGAATGGTGAGACAATTTCAATGTTATTTATTTCATCTTTTCCATCACTTTTATGTGGAGCACCAATGATGAATATTACACACAGTGTTTAAAGTGTAGACAAAGTTTGTATTACACAAATAAATATTTGTCATGTAAGCAATATAAGCCATATCTGTGTGGGCACTACCTGGTTAGAAGCCTTCAGAGATAATATCTAATACTGTGTGATTTCTATCTGACACACCAAGATGGTACTTTTGAATATGGCAAACCTGGCTGTTTCTGGAACAATAATAAAGTGACCTACTTGAGCCATTTGCATGTGACTAATGGATAATGATGAAGATACAGGTGGGAAAGAAGAGCTGCTGGAAGAAAAAAAGGGAATTGTGTATGTTTGACAACAGACCTGCCACAGACTACAAGAAAAGACCCCTACAGAAAGCAGAAGGAAAACAGAAAACCGCACATTGTTTTTTTTTTGGAAAAAAAAAAAAGCACAATGAAAGCAAGAAATGAGAAGACAGAAACAGCCAAGATCAGTGAAAGAAGAAAAGATCTGCAGACTGAATTCGTAGCGCTGGAGTCTCATGACATGAGACTTGTGTGCCACTTGTATGCCACAATCTGTCTTTCCGCTGATGTGTACATGACTCTAGGAAAGGTGGTCTCCACATCCATAGTTTAACTATAATCTCTGATGTTATGGTTGGGGCTCCCACCCCAGGATTTTCAGAGTTCCTTGCTCTCTGACAGCCAGGCACAGGAATATTGCCTAATTTAGTTGGTGTGGGCTTGGCATTAAGTCAGTTAACCGCTTGTGATACAGTTGAGTAGTCACGAGTTTGCACAGGTATCAGTGGGCATGTAGACAGTCTAGAAAAGATTACAAGCAGATGGAGACTTTATCCACCTCCAGGCAGAGTTTGTAGGGAAGAAGGTTAAAAGTTGGAAACATTAGGTACAGAAATCAATGGAACAGTACACGAATGCCATACCTTAACAATACCATACTTAGAGTCATTTTCAGATGTTTTTTCAGAGGCAAGAAACTCTGTTTCATCATCTCCAACCACCTACTGAGACAGATTATAGCTCTTCTCAATTCAGCCCTTTTTCTAAATGGCTCTGCATTCATTCTTGTTTTAAATGGTGAAGTGTCTTACTTATAACAAAGAACGTGAGTGAAATGTGGTTTTTTGGAGACTGTAAGCATATATTCCCAGGCTAACAGCACCGCCTTCAATGTAATGTCAAAGTGTAAACCAATTCAAAAAGTTGTTCTGGGACCAACAAACTAACTCAAAATGTGGAAAAACAACGAAATATCAAACCATGGAGTACAGACAATGTAATGATTTTTAGTTGGCATTTTTGTAAAAATACAAGTTTAAATACTTATAATTTCCTAGTGAAGTAAACAGCTGGTTATTCAAACCAAGCCCATCATTTTCCCACCTCTGTAAATTGCTTGATCAACATTTCCATGTCTTTTGTATCCAAACTCAAAAAAGCAAGCAAAACAACCCCCTACAGTACTCATTATTTCTGTATTCCTAAAAATACCAACAAGTGCTCCACTGACAAATACAGAAAACAGTATGAATAATACTAGATGACAAGCTACGGGTAGATGAATCACCTGACTGCAGTCTCCTGCGTTGGATATTCACGTGTAGGATTCCTATGGCCCATAGTCTCTTGACTAGAACTACCCACTGTGACTGAGAGAGAAAAGATGTGAAAGCCTTACACATTCTTCATTCCATCATCTGGTATGTATGTTGCCATACCATAAAGTTAGATCCTTGTTAATCTCCACAGGTATTTAAAGCTTTATTTAAATATTTTGTATCTCCAAATGTGACTTACTGAGAATATTTATTTCTTGGCTTAAGATCCTGAATAATGATCCATCTGCTCAGTAATGGCTAATACTCTTATCTCTCCTTTTTGCGAGCTAATCACAGCCCCAGACAGCATGCACTCTCTCATTAGATGTCAGAGAGGATAAAGGTCTTAGGAATGGTTATAAAATTTGATGATGTAATTAAAACCTTTTATTATTGGCTTTAAACCTTTTAGTGTGAGGCTACAATTTTAAGACACAGACTCGCGTCCCAGCCTCTCCTTTGGTCAGGGAGAATGATACAGATCTCTTCAGAGTGGTGAATCCATTTTCAGACACACCAGGATAATTATGCCTGTGTTGTAGGGCAGGCATGGCCTTTGATGGACTTAGATCCATTCACCAGTTCAGGGGACCAAACTACTACCTCCCAGTTCATACTCTCAGGTTTCCTCCACAAATAAGGGTAAAAGAAGGGGAAGATGTGTGCTTGGATGTCATCCTGATATGCAGTTGCATCACGACACTTGCTTGGACTGGGGATCTGGGAAGCGACACTGTAACAGCAACTATGGACAACCAAGATCTGAGGAAAAGCCTTGGCTGCAGGCTTTTAAGGTTGCCTACCCCTAGAAAACAGCTGCAGTTGAATACAAGGACGGTAGTTGAAACTGGAGCCTGTAAGAAATACGCAAAGGTACTTTCATTCTTCTGTTCTCATTGTCCTAAATCAAAGGTAGTCACAGTCTGGCCATGACTGTTCTGTATTTTCCAATGAAAATAAATCCTAATATGAGAATATTTGCTGTGGATTTGCAAAGTGATTTGTAAACAAAGGATCCACGCCTGCTTCCAACAGCAAAAATCCCATTATCTTTATTGGAGCAATACTCTATCAATAAAGTACCACTTGTATGTACCCAGACCCTCTCTCAGAGTGCTCTTGTCACCAGATTTTCAGCAGCAAAAGAAGTGTTTAAATAAAACATAGGTGATGGCAAAATGCTCAAATACATTAAGAATTACTAATTTCCTAGGAGTCTTCAGATACCTTTGCACTGAAGTTACATCTACATCAGTAGCTTTCAAAGTACACTGAAAAAGTGCTTTGATTCACTTGATGTACCTTTAAAAAAGATAAAAAAGATCAGTATCTTTGATATCT